CAACCACGCGTTTCGTCGGGGACATCCTTAATATTTCCACGCCGACTGGGACTTCACCTCGATGTTAATACTAGAACCATCGCGCGTGCTTCGCGCGCGCTCAAGTTCTAGCTGGGCTGGATGGTCGAACTCTTAGGGCTTCCTGTTGGGCTTCCGGGAGCCCAGGGCTGGAAATGTTCGTTCGGCCCCCGCCTGGACCGCTGGGCTCTTGGGGGGCTCTTTCCGGCCTCCTGGATGCTGCTTGAGCCCGCTTGGGGGCCTCTTGGGCACTCTTGGGGGCCTCTTGGGGCCTCCTCGGAGCATCCTGGACCGCTTCTGAAAGTTGTCATGGGACCTTCTTGGCATGTCTTCGGGGGCCTCTTAGAAAAAGTTTTGAAGCCTTTTGGGTGCCGTCTTGGGGCCTCTTTTGGGCTTTTTGGGGGCCTCTTGGGGCCTCTTGGGGGCCACTCGGGGCTTCCCGGGGGCCTCTTGGGGCCTCTTGGGTGCATCTTGGGGCGGAGAGCTTGATTTTTCAGTTAGCGTTCCCTCTCTTGTGCCCCTCTTGGGGCCTTCTTGGGACCCTCTTGCGCCCTCTTGGGCGGCTCTGGGGCCGTCTCGGGGCTCTCTTGGGCCGTCTTGGGGCTCTCTTGGGGGCCTCTTGGGGGCCTCTCAGGACCTCTTGGGGGCTTCCCAGGGGCCTCTTGGGGCCTCTTGAGGGCATCTTGGGGCGGAGAGCTTGATTTTTCAGTTCCCCTCTCTTGGGGCCTTCGTGGGACCCTCTTGCGCCGTCTTGGGCGGCTCTGGGGCCATCTCGGGGCTCTCTTGGGCCGTCTTGGGGCCCTCTTGGGGGCCTTTTGGGCCGTCTTGGAGCGGTTTGGGGAGCCTCTTGGGCGGTGCTTTAGCGCCAGAAACACGAAACGGCGAGAATGCAAAAAACATTGAAATAATCCATGCAAATCAACGATGTTGCTTTCTGGGCGTTCTTGGGCGGCATCTTAAAGGCCTCTTGGGGCGTCTTGGGGGCCTCCGGGGCAGTTTCAAACGCATCGTGCGATTTCTTTGGGGCCTCATGGGGCCTCTTGGGGGTTTCCTGGGGGCCTCTTGGGGGCATCTTGGGGCGGAGAGCTTGATTTTTCAGTTCGCGTTCCCTCTCGTGGGCCCCTTTTGGGTCCCTCTTGGGACCCTCTTGCGCCATCTCGGGCGGCTCTGGGACCATCTCGGGGCTCTCTTGGGCCCTCTTGGGCCCTCTAGGGGGCCTTTTGGGCCGTCTTGGAGCGGTTTGGGGAGCCTCTTGGGCGGTGCTTTGGAAACACGAAACAGCGAGAATGCAACAAATATGGGAAAACCATGAAAATCAACGATTTTGCCCTCTCGGGGTGCTCTTGGGCGGCATCCTAAAGGCCTCTTGGGGCATCTTGGGGGCCTCCGGGTCAGTTTACAACGTATCGTGCGTCGCCAGAGACCCCTGGACGGCGTCTTGGGGGTGTCTCGAGACCGTCTGGGGCCGCCGAGATTGCTGTCTGAGGGCTCCCCGGGGCGATTTTAGGCCTCCCAGAGGCGGGCCGGCGCGCCGGGCACCACGCGCGCGCTTCGCGCGCGCTTAGGTTCTAGCGTGTCACAGACACAGGAATCGCTGTATGAAAAAATGTTTGGAGTTTGTTTCAGGCAAGTGAGGACTCCAGTGGCAACACCTGCTTGAGGCACCGCCGGGGACGGGCCCTGTGTAGAGTGTGGAAAGTCGGACCAGCTCTCTGTTCGACCCTGTTGGGCGCGCCCTGGGGCTCTCTTGGGCCGTTTTGGAGGGCCCATTTGGGGGGTTGTTTGGGGGCCTCTTTTGGTGTTTTTTCTGGTCTCTTGGGAGCCTCTTGGGGCTTCTTGGGCGCTTCTTGGAGCCTCTTGGGGTCTCCTGGGGGCCTCTTAGGCCAAAACGCTCGAATCTTCGGCTCCTCGTCCCTGTCTTGGGCGCCGACTTGAGGCGTTCTTGGGCGGTTTGGGCGCCTCGGGGGCCGTCTTGGCCCCCTCGTGGGCCGTCTTAGAGCCCTCTTGAGGGCATCCTCGACCGGCTTGGGTGCCTCTTGGACCGTCTTGGACGCAGGGGAAGCCCAAAAGGCGAACACGCCAAAAATAACAGTTTTCCGAAAAAGGAAATCAACAGTTTTTGATTATTAGGGCTCTATTGGGGTGCCCCTTGAGGGCGTGTTCGGAGCCTCTTTTTGTGTTTTTGCGGGTCTCTTGGGGACCTCTTGGGGCTTCTTGGGCTCTTCTTGGAGCCTCTTGGGGTCTCCTGGGGGCCTCTTGGGCCGAATGGCTCGCATTTTCGGCTCCTCGTCCCCGTCTTGGGCGACGAATCGGGGCGTTCTTGGGCGGTTTAGGCGTCTCGTGGGCTGTCTTGGCACCCTCGTGGGCCGTCTTGGACCCTCTTGGAGGCATCCTCGACAGTCTTGAGTGCCTCTTGGGCCGTCTTGGACGCAGTGGAAGCCCAAAAGGCGAACACGCCAAAAATAACAGTTTTCCGAAAAAGGAAATCCAAAGTTTTTGATTATCAGGGCTCTATTGGAGTGCCCCTTGGGGGAGTGTTCGGGGCCTCTTTTTGTGTTTTTGCGGGTCTCTTGGGGACCTCTTGGGGCTTCTTCGGCGCTTCTTGGAGCCTCTTGGGGTCTCCTGGGGGCCTCTTAGGCCAAAACGCTCGAATCTTCGGTTCCTCGTCCCCGTCTTGGGCGCCGACTCGGGGCGTTATTGGGCGGTTTGGGCGCCTCGGGGGCCGTCTTGGCACCCTCGTGGGCCGTCTTGGAGCCCTCTTGGGGGCATCCTCGACCGGCTTGGGTGCCTCTTGGGCCGTCTTGGACGCAGTGGAAGCCCAAAAGGCGAACACGCCAAAAATATCAGTTTTCCGAAAAAGGAAATCGTCAGTTTTTGATTATCAGGGCTATATTGGGGTGCCCCTTGGGGGCGTGTTCGGGGCCTCTTTTTGTGTTTTTGCGGGTCTCTTGGGGTCCTCTTGGGGCTTCTTGGGCTCTTCTTGGAGCCTCTTGGGGTCTCCTGGGGGCCTCTTGGGCCGAATGGCTCGCATTTTCGGCTCCTCGTCCCCGTCTTGGGCGACGAATCGGGGCGTTCTTGGGCGGTTTAGGCGTCTCGTGGGCCGTCTTGGCACCCTCGTGGGCCGTCTTGGAGCCCTCTTGGGGGCATCCTCGACAGTCTTGGGTACCTCCTGTGCCGTCATGGACGCAGTGGAAGCCCAAAAGGCGAACACGCCAAAAATGATAGTTGTCCTAAAAAGGAAATCGACGGTGTTTGCTTATTTGGGGCTCTATTGGGGTGCCTCTTCCAGAAGCGTTTCCTACGAAGACCACCGTGAGGAGGGAAGTAGAGTAGCATTCGTGAATCACAGAGGGGATAGGAGTGCGAGCAAAGGAGTGATAAGTTCAACCAGCGTCCAAAAACAATCAGATTCAGAGTCTCTGCAAGCGTTTCGGAAGCCTATTAAGGCCATCTTGGGCTTTGGAGCCATTAGGGCCTTCTCGCGGCGTCTTTGGGAGGCTTCCTGGTACCTCGAACCACCTGGTAACCCTTCTTGCGACTCCGTGGAGCCATGGTGTAGGTCATGTTGTCGTATCTTGGAGGCCAGTTTAGGCTATCGGGGTCCATATTGGACGACTATGGGACCCTTTAACGACCCGCGACCCCCCTGGCCCCTGGGAGAGGGGGTACCACGAGGCAAGAAGAGGTTACCCAGCTGCCTGAAGCAATTCTCGCCACCATGCCAGCTCAGCCCGTTGGGTGGCAAAGCTTCAAGCACCGAAGGCTTGAGGCCGGCTTGGCCCTCTCTTGGGCCGTCTTGGGGCCAGCTTGGCCGTCTTTGGGGGGTCTCTTGAGGCCGTCGAGGGGCTCTGGGTCCCTCCGGATGCCCTCCTTGGCCAGCTTAGGGCTTGGTTGGGGCCGTCCTGGGCCGTCTAGGGGCCTTGGGTTGGCTTGATGATCGGGCCATTTGGAAGCTCTCTTGGGCCGTCCGACGACCAACTTGGAGGCCTCTAGGACCGTCTGCAGCTGCAGGGAGCCCAAAAAGGTGAAGACGCCCAAATGTTTGAAAAACGTAGGGAAATATCATTTGAATTTCCTTGAGCCCGCCTGCGCTGCTCTTCATCGACGCAACTCTTGTGACCCCCTCGGGCCGTCTTGGGGGACTCGGGCCGTCTGGCGGCCATCTTGGGCCACCTTGGGGCCATCTTGGGCAGTGTTGAAGGCATCTTGGGCCACCGTGGCTGCCTTCGTTGCCTGCCTCGGCCGTCTTGGAAGCCCAGGAGCGCGAATCCATCATGTCTTTGCGAGCGACCGAGCCTTAAAGATGCGTCGGGGCGACCAGGAATTTTCGGGAGAAGGGCGATGCATGCACCTCTGTGTGGCCGGGAGGGGGAGGGCCCTTGAAAACTACAGAAACCTTACCAGATAGACTTGGCATTCCACCACGCCTCAATGTACCAGGGGAATTGTGGCAGCTTTTTGAAGAACTAGGATTCTAAATCACATATGACAGAGGGATGGTCGTATCCTTACAGTTTCGCATGTCCCCCCCCCCACCAGCCCGCCCAGAAACGATTGCCGGGCGAGTTGCCGTGAGAAGAGAAGCGGAGGTACATGAGTGAAACAAGGGGGTGCCGTGGGATACCAGTCAAAACAAAGAAGGGATCAGCCGAAGCAGCCACTAAGCATGGGCAACCAACGTGGACCTTCTTGGAGTGAAATTGGGGTTTGGGGCTCTCTGGAAGCAATGTTGGGAGCCTTAGGAACTCTCTTGAGGCCCCTTTGAGAGCCCTTCGGGCCCTCTTTGGGCCAAGCTGAATTGAGGGCTCTGACTGGCGCCCCCTTCTGGGATCCGAAATATTCCCTTCCTGTTACTGTTGACGTCAAAGATGATGTAAGGGAGTGAATTGGAAGTCCCACTGCTTAGAGAGGGGGGTGGCTCAGAAAAGTCAATGCCAGCGACATGGTGGCAGATTCATAGTCAAGATTGACAGGGTGGGGAGGCAGATATTTGGCTACACGAACGAGTGCGTGACGGTGACAAGTACTGACGTGCCTGCTTTGCAAGTGGGTTGGGGGTAAGGGGTGGTCTTCAATGAGTGGCGAGTCACAAATGCCATCGATCGTTTGCTTACTTCCATAATCAATTCGAGCAAGCGGAGCTGATGTTGCCGGCCGAGTCTTGCGCGCGTCGCGTCAGCGATGGTAGGAGTGCATGGCGGAAAAGGAAAGCAGAGTGCGGTGCGCTTCTTATGCCACGTCAGATGGCTTCCACTAGCCTCCCCGTGGGAGGGTTGGAAAAAAGAGGGAGGAGGAGCAGCAGAGGGAGGAAGAGATGGAGTTGGAGGTGGAGGTGGAGGTGGTGGTAGAAAGGGAGGAGGAACGTCGGACCCACACCCACCCACTCAAAGAGAACGATTTCACAAAAGCATTGAACACTCGGACGGATCCTGGGGGAAACGGGTGCTGGACCCCGGCCTTTCCCCGGAGCCAGTTTTTCATCCTGAGTCGTGTTTGGTTGCCCTGGTGCCCAGGGAGGGCCCCAGCAGCCCGAAGAAAAGCAGGTGAAGCTGCGGGATCCGTCTCCTGCATGCCGAGGGAAAGGGGGGCGCCCGACTCCCCCGATCGGGTCAGGTCTACCACGTCGTCGTGAAGCCCGCGTGCCGCCTGCGCGCCCTCGGGGAGCGCCGCGTTGGGGGGGGGGCATCTCATTAACCTGCTTCCAGGGGCGGGTACGGTGGGATGCTGTCGGGGAGATGCCGTCGGGGGAAAGCCCACGAGCTTCGTTCGATTTCTGACGTTGAAGATTGTCACAGGGACCAGAGCTCCGAAAAAGCAGGTGGGCAGCGATTTCGAGCATCGGCGGCGATTTACCATGAATCCGAAGAAATCTCGCGCAAGAGCTTCTGTTGTACTGTGTGGTCTTAGGGACATACTCTGAGCCACAATGCCATCTTCGACACCACACAGAGTGTAAACGTCAAGCAGCACATGACGGTTCGATTGAGGAAATTCGGGATGCATCAGAGAAAGGGGATCAATAATCATTTGTTCTTCTTCACATGTTGATAGTCAATCGATTTGGTAACAGTCGTTCTTATTGACCACGTGTTCCTGAAAATGTGCATCCCCAGCAGCGCCCGAGCTTTTCCTCGATTGCTCGCTGATGTTCGGTGGGTTCGTGCACTGCGATGAACGGAGTCGTTGTGCTCATGGCGACAAAAGACCTCTCGAAGATCGACAAGGCAGAAGGCGAGGATGATAGACGAAGCGCTGCTCGATTGCACATTCATGGAACGGCAGGATGTCCATCAACCATGTCTAGACACCGCCAGAGGAATGCAGTGCAATCCGAGAAACCGCAGCACGAAATAAGCAGTCGAAGCGCCTGACAGCGCGACGATATTGATTCTAAAGCACAAAGCTGTCCGGGCAGAGGGAGTCGCGGACACTGATATAAAGCCCACGGGATGTGAGTGTAGATCGGTTGGGAGATGGCAAAGAGTTTGGTCTCGAACAGGATGCGCTAGGATGCATGTTTTCCGCTCCAGCCCATCCGCCTCGAGCAGTGTTTGACGACGTGGCAAATGTGCGCAAGGGTTAGGTGCCCAATCCGTGCCAGGGTTCCTGAACGTGGAAGGCGTGGCACTTTCTGAACACCAGAGGGGCGACCAGGGGGGAGGGGCTGAGCGGGCCATGGCGCTGGGCGCGGAAGGCGTGGCACTTTCTCGACACCACAGGGGGTCGGTGCTCTGTGCGCTTGGCGTTACAGGCGTCGCTCTTTCTCGACATCAGAGCGTGCCTGCATGGGCTTGTCCAAGAGCGATGTGAATATATACGTGTGTATATATATATACATACATACATGCATACATACATACGTGCATATATGTATATGTATATGTGCATGTGCAAGCGCATATATATATATATATATATATATATATATATATCACGGGGGGGCAGGCCTGGGGCCCGAAAACAGCTGCCTCGACCCTCCATGGGAGTACCGGGGCTCATTTTCCCTGTGTTGTTCAAGGTTTCGGCGTCCTGGGCCTCGGAGGCCGCCGCGATGGTCCTGGACATTTTCCAGATCGTCGGCGCGAGCTCCAAGACCATTCCGCAGAGGGCTCCAACAGTTTCCAGGCCAGCACAAGAGGGTTCCAAGACGGCTCCAGGAACGACTGCAGGCTTTCATTTTTCATATGTTTTTGCAGGGTTTCGGTGCCTCGGGCCTCCGAGGTCGCAGCGGTAGGCCCAGACATCTTGAAGGCCCACGGACATAGCCCCAGGTCTATTTCCCAGAGGCCTCCAGCAGGCTCCAGGCTAGCCCAAGAGGGTCCCAAGATGGCTGGAGGAGCGGGTGCCGGCCCTCATTTACCTTGTGCTTTTTCAAGATTTCCGCGCCCTGGGCCTCGGAGCCCGCCGCCATGGGCTCGGACATCGTTGAGAACTTCGGAGGGAGCTCCATGACCATTCCCCAGTGGGCTCCAACAGGCCCCAGGCCAGCACGACTGCAGGCTTTCATGTTTCATATGTTTTTGCAGGGTCTCGGTGCCTCGGGCCTCCGAGGTCGCAGCGGTGGGCCCAGACATCTTGAAGGCCCACGGACATAGCCCCAGGTCTATTTCTCAGAGGCCTCCAGCAAGAGGGTTCCAAGATGACTGGAGGAGCGGGCGCCGGCCCTCATTTACCTTGTGTTTTTTCCCGGATTTCCGCGTCCTGGGCCTCGGAGCCCGCCGCCATGGGCTCAGACATCTTGGAGACCCTCGGAGGGTGCTCCATGGCCATCCCCTCAGGGGGCTCCAACAGGCCCCAGGCCAGCCCAAGTGATCCCCAAGAGGGCCCCAGGAGGAGCCCCGGCGCGAGGTCACGGAAGCAAAACCCCAAGCTTGCGTTCGAAAGGCCTCCCAGGAAGGACCAGCAAAGGAGGAGCAGCAGCAGGAGCAGGTGCTTCCGCACACAAGCTCGCGTTAGGAAGACGACGGCCAGGAGAGCGCGGCAGCAGGGATCTGCGGGAAACGAGCACGAGGAGGAGGAGGGGGAGAGGGAGAGAAGCACCAGCGCTTCTGCCGAACGCGTTCCGGCGATACTCGTCTGGAACGCGTCGGCCAACGAGGACACAGATTGAGAGGAGGAGGAGGAGGAGGAGGAGGAGGAGGAAGAGGAAGAGGAGGACGAGGAGGAGGAGGAGGAGGAGGAGGAGGAGGAGGAGGAGGAGGAAAAGGAGGGGGAGGACGAGGAGGAGGAGGAGGAGCGGGAGGAAGGGGAGCAGGAGGAGGAGGAGGAGGGCGAGGAGGAGGAGAAGGACGAGGGGCTACAGGAGGAGGACGCGGAGAACGCAGCAGCAGCAGCAGCAGCAGCAGCAGGCCGCGGCAGCAGGAATCTGAGGAAGTCGAGGATGAGGAGGACGAGAACGCGTTCCGGGAAGACTGAGGCGCAGGAGGAGGGGGAGGAGGAGGAGGGGCAAGAAGAGGAGGACGCGGAGGGCGCAGCAGCAGTAGCAGCAGCAAGCTGAGAAGAATCACCAGGAGGAGAGGAGTCTCGGTCCTCCTACTGAGCGCATTCCGGCAAGACTCTTCCGGAACGCGCATGATCAGGAGAAGCACGCGGAGAACGGATGACACCCGTCAGCAGCAAAGTGAAGACAAGCAGGCGGAGCAAGAGTCAGACGACGATGCGGCGGAAGGCGCGGGCGCAGGAGGCCAGGAAGCGGGGGCACGACGGGGAGGAGGAGAAGGAGGCGGACGAGCCAGAGCAGGAGGCGGAGGAACACAGGAGATTGCATGGGGCAAGAGCAGCAGCAGGAGGAGGAACAGGAGGAGGAGGAGGAGGCGCCGATGCGCAGGAAGAGGTGGAGGAGACAGAGACGGTCGGCGAGGAAAAGGGGGAAGCGCGCCAGGATCACAGGATTAGGGGCCACAGGCGCTGCACGCGCAGCCATCATTTTGGCTTAGGGCGCCGCCGCGCAACCCTCTTCCCCTCGACCTGCTGCCTCGACCCTCCGTGGGAGGACCGGGCTTCCTTTACAGGGCTTGACGGCCCTGGGCCTATCCGTAGCCCCCTTGTTCCTGCGCTCCGCTCTCGATCGCCACCGAGCGCCCCCAGGGGCCTTCAAGACCTTCCGAAACAGACGCGGAAACCGGTGCCACGATGACCCTCCACGGCAGGGCCAGACTCATTTTCCATTCGTTTTTGCGGGGTTGTCGCGTCCCGGAGCTATCCGCGGCCTCTTCGCCCCTGCGCCCCGCCCGCGATTGCCCACAGGGCCCCCGAGGCCTTCCAGACCTTCCGAAACAAGGCTGGAAACCCGCGCCACGGCGACCCTCTACGGCGGGACCGGGTAGTAATTTCGTTATGTTTTTATATGGTTTCAGCGGCCCGGGATCATCCGCGGCCCCCTCGTTCCCGCGCTTCGCTCGCGGTCGCTGCCAGACGGCCCCGGAAGCCTTCAAGACCTTCCGAGACGGGGCCAACACCGCGTCCCAGAGGGCCGCAACATTCCCACAAAAATGATTTTCTTTTCGACGGGAGGTGGAGACGGAGGAGAGGACCAGAAGGCAGAGCAGGAGGAGGGCCAGGAGGAGGAGGAGAAGGAGAACAAAAAAGATGCGGAAATAGAGGGGCAGGGGAACCATGGCCCAGCGGGGGGGCGAGGAGGAGGAGGGGCGAAGACGAAGTGGGAGACGAGCAGGGGGGGGCGCGGAGGATCAGGAGGAGGAGGATCAGGGCGAGGGGACAAGAGAGGGAGGGGAGCAGGAGATGGAGGGGGAGGAGCAGCAGCAGCGGCAGGACGGAGGAGGGGGACAAGGAGGAGCAGCAGGAAGAGGGGAGGCAATTATGGCGAGGAGGAGGAGGAGGAGGAGCAGGAGGAGGAGGAGGAGGAGGTGAGGAGCCTGCGCGCCCCTGTCGAGCGCGCCCCGGCCAGGCCCTTTTCGAAGTCCTGCCCCCGGCCGCCCCCTCTTCACCCTGTCTCTCCGCCCCCCCCCCGCTCCACCACCTCCCCCCCCCCCCCTCGTTCCCTCCCCCTGCCCCTCCTCCTCCCGCCCCTCCCTGCTGCCCCCCATGCCCCGCCTCATCCTCCTCTCCCTTCCCCTTCCCCCCCCCTTTTTTTTCCTCTCCCCCCCTCTCTGCGCCCCCCCTCCCCCCCCCCACCCACCCACCCACCCCCTCGCCCCCCCCCCTCCTCACCCTCATGCATGCCCCTCCTCCCCCACGCCCTCTTCTCCATGATCTTAGCCTTCTCGGGCGGAGGAAGAAGGGGGGGGGGGGGGCAGGGAGAAGACGAGGGGCAACAGGGGGAGGATAACGAGGAGGGCGCAGCACGCAGATGAGGAGACGAAGCCAGAGGAGGGGGGCCTCGGTGATCTTGTTCAGCGCGCTCCGGCAAGACTCTTCTGGAACGCGTTGCACGGGCAGGATCGCGCTGAGAACAGAGGACATGAGAGGGGGGAACCGACGAGGGCGACGGGGCTCGTCGCCGCTCTCGGGGGCTCCTGGGAGGCCCAGCGGAGTGACGTCCCACGCCGTTTCCGCTTCCGTGGGTTCTTGGCAGGAGCATTTGGGCTTGTTGGTCGGTCTGCAATCCTGCGCTCGCCGTCGCCGCCCCGTCGCCACTTGTTTCCCCGTTACCTCCTCGTCGCCGCCCCATCACCGCCCGTCGCCGCCGCCCCGCCTGGCGC